GTGTACGCTGTGTGGTTTACTGTATGCGGGGTACTGAGTGTGGTTTACTGTATGCGGGGTACTGGTGTACTGCTGTATGTGGGGTGGTGTGTGGTTTACTGTATGTTGGTGTACGCTGTGTGGTTTACTGTATGCGGGGTACTGTGTGTGGTACTGTATTGTGGTGTACTGTTGTGTGGTTACTGTATGTGGGGGTACTGTGTGTGGTTTACTGTATGTGGTGTACGCGCTGTGTGGTTTTTACTGTATGTGGTGTACGCTGTGTGGTTTTACTGTAATGCTGTGTGTGGTTTACTGTACTGTGTACTGTGTGTGGTTTACTGTATGCGGGGTACTGTTGGGTTTACTGGTGGTGTACGCTGTGTGGTTTACTGTATGTGGTGTACGTGTGTGGTTACTGTAACTGTACTGTGGGTGTTGTATGTTGGGGTACTGTGTGTGGTGTACTGTATGTGGTGTACTGTGTGTGGTGTACTGTATGTGGTGTACTGTACTGTATGTGTGTACTGTGTGTGGTTTACTGTATGTGGTGTACGCTGTGTGGTTTACTGTATGTGGTGTACGCTGTGTGGTTTACTGTATGTGGTGTACGCTGTGTGGTTTACTGTATGTGGTGTACGCTGTGTGGTTTACTGTATGTGGTGTACGCTGTGTGGTTTACTGTATGCGGGGTACTGTGTGTGGTTTACTGTATGTGGTGTAACTGTGTGACTGTATGTGGTGTACTGTGTGAACTGTATGTTACTGTGTGTGGTTTACTGTATGTGGTGTACTGTATGTGGTGTACGTTGTGTGGTGTACTGTATGTTGGGTACTGCTCTGTGAAAGAAACGGGGGGGGGGTTCCTCACTGTTCTGGTAAAGGTGAAAGAGTAAGATTTTTTTTTATTCTGTTTTTTCCTCTTGATAATTTATTTCCTTCCTTGGCTCCTCCCTTCTCTCTGTGTCTGTCTCTCTCTCTATATATATCTGTTTGTCTGTCTCCATCTCTCTCTCTCTATCTATCTAGCTATCTATCTCTCTGACCTCTCTCTCTCTCTCTCTCTCATTCTCTCTCTCTCTCTCTTCTCTCTCTCTCTCTCTCTCTCTCTCTCTCTCTCTCTCTCTCTCTCTCTCTCTCTCTTTCGCTATCTAGCTATCTCTCTGACCTCTCTCTCTCTCTTTCTCTATCTATCTATCTCTCTCTCTCTCTCTCCCATACATACATTTACATAAACACACACACACACACATCTATATATTATATGTATGTATGTATGTATGCATGTATATATGCATGTATGTATATATGCATGTATGTAAGTTTCAGCATGATATATACATAGCATCATTACCTGTACATGCCGTGTGAATATGACCCTCTTTGAGTTAGCCATGGAACTCGTTATCGTCAGCAAGGACTAGCACACGCACACACACACACACACAGCACAGCACACACACACACACACACACACACGCACACACGCACACACGCCTCGCACGCAGCCCCGACACGAGCTGAACAATCTGCTAACTCAGCTTAATCGTTTGTTCGAACCGCCGGAGGAACAAACGATGCCACATTCCCGAACATTCCACTAGACGCTGTTCATTGTTCACTGTTCATTTATTTCATGTTTTGTTCATTGTTCACTGTTCATTTATTTCATGTTTTGTTCATTGTTCACTGTTCATTTATTTCATGTTTTGTTCATTGTTCACTGTTCATTTATTTCATGTTTTGTTCATTGTTCATTTGATATGCTTTTTCCATAGGTTGTGACTGGTTCTTATGACTAGCTTCTACAGTGAATTTGTGATAATGAGATGGTTATGGAAACAACCTAATGACCATAATATAACACAGTGTTGAGGAGACGTACATATATGCATATGTATGTCTCCTCATACATGTTCACACACACACATACACACACACACACACTCACACACACTCATATGCACACACACACACACTCATATGCACACACACACACACTCATATGCACACACACACACACATACATGTATATGTCTGTGTGTGTGTGTGTGTGTGTGCATGTGTGCAGATATATATTTATATACATATGTAGAGATAGACAGAAAAATAGATAGATAGGGAAAAAGAGAGAGAGAGAGAGAGAGAGAGAGAGAGAGACCAGAGAGAGAGAGAGAGAGAGGAGAGAGAGAGAGAGAGAGACAGAGAGAGAGAGAGAGAGAGAGAGAGAGAGAGAGAGAGAGACAGAGAGAGAGAGAGAGAGAGAGAGAGAGAAAGAGACAGACAGACAGACACAGCACCCAAAGGGGACGCTAAAGATTACAAACAAGTCCCTTTCCAGCTCACCCTCGCCCCCAAAAGTGTGCCACGCGCTTATTTTATTAACTTGGGGCATAAAACGTTTGGTGAAGCTGTTGACTTAGGCTCTCCTACCTCAAGAACCTCATTAAAACAAAAGACTAAACTTAGAATGGATCTTTTCGAAATAAACAAGGAGAAAACTGCGGGAGGAAAGTTGTGGATGGGAATGAAGCAATGTGACTGAAGACTCGCCGACGCACACGGACACATACGGACACGGATGCATACGGATACAAACACACACGGACGGAAACACAAACGGACATAAATGCAGGGACACAAACACACAAGGATACAAACACACACGGACGGAAACACAAACAGACATAAACGCAGGGACACAAACACACAAGGAGACAGACACACACGGAGATAGACGCATACGGACACGGATACATGCGGATACAAACACACACGGACGGAAACACAAACGGACATAAATGCAGGGACACAAACACACAAGGAGACAGACACACACGGAGATAGACACATACGCGGACAACGGATACACACACACGGATACAGAGACACAAACACACAAGGAGACAAACACACACGGACGGAAACACAAACGGACATAAATGCAGGGACACAAACACACAAGGAGACAGACACACACGGAGATAGACACATACGGACACGGATACATGCGGATACAAACACACACGGACGGAAACACAAACGGACATAAATGCAGAGACACATCACACAGGAGACACATACGGACACGGACATACGGATACAAACACACACGGACGGAAACACAAACGGACATAAATGCAGAGACTAGCAGGACGCAAACACACAAGGAGACAAACACACACGGACGGAAACACAAACAGACATAAACGCAGAGACACAAACACACAAGGAGACAGACACATACGGAAATAGACACATACGGACACGAACGGGACACAAAAACATACGGACGGAAACACAAACAGACATAAACATAGGGACACAAACACACAAAGAGGTAGACACATCCGGACACGCACGGGATGCAAAAACACACGAACACAAACACACACAAACAGGAACACAAACGGACACAAACACAGGGACACAAACACGCAAAAACAAACACAGGGACACAAACACGTACGGACGCAAACAACACATGGACACAAACGAACACGGAGAAAAACACAAACGGACATAAACACATACACAAGGACACAGATAAATACACAAGGAGACGGACATACATTACATCATACGGAGAAAACACCCGTAGGCGGACACAAAAAACACACACTCAAACACATAACTACAAACACAAACAAAACACAAACAGCAACAAACAAACACACAAAAACACACACAAACACAAACCAACAAACAAACAAAATCAAACAAACACACAAAAACAAACAGACACACTCGCAACCCCACAGTACGCAAACAAACACCCTCACGCCACCAGCCCGCCCAGCCCGCCCACCCCGCCCACCCGCCGCCCACCCCCGCCCATAATCCAGGCCGCACAAAGACAAGCTTAACCGTCGCTTCCTATTACAGGTCAATCAAGGTCATCCATACAATTAGGGTTTCTGTTGCGCCGCTCTCTTTGGGGTCGCTGGCTTTGTGCGCTGTTTGTTGTTGTTTTTTGTTCTGTTGTTCTTCTTTGTTGTTCTTTATTGCTTTTTTGTTCTTGTTTTGTTGTTGTTCTTTGTTGTTCTTGTTTGTCTTTTTTGGTTGTTC